ACGTAGGTTTCTTCATCAAGATGTCACGTGGAACACAATTTGCGCGACGAAAATTAGGTATAGAACGTGATTCCTAATAAAGATAGAAATGATACACAAAAATAACCCGAATGCAGAGTAATTGAGTGAAACAAACAAAATAAAATTTGAAACGAAGGCTAAAAACAAGCAGAATGCAATGCCCGGGATGTTTTGGGGTGATTTCAACCCCCTACTGGACCAGGAAACAAAAATGTAACAATCAAAATACTCCTTGCACCACAGTTTGTGATAAAAATGAAGGTTTAAGAAATATGTCCTGTTATCATAAAAGGGGGCCTGAGAGATTTTTTTGTTTTTGTTTTTAGCTTTTTATATTTTTGTTTTCTGATCGAGAAGGAGGTTGAAACCACACTGTAATGTCCGTGACATTATTTCTGTTTTTAGCCTTAATTTCTCATTTTCTTGTGTTTTGTCTCTCCTAATTAAGATATTAACGTTATTCATGGCACAGGTTACGAAAAATGAGTTTTCCGCTTATAAGAAAAGGAAGAGTCTACTTGAATCAAATTACGCAGTACTACGGTTTTAGCAGGCTTCTCAATATGTACACAGTAAAAAAGGTAACCGACATTTGGTGTCCTATGGAAAGTAAAACACAAAATAACAAGCCCTCGGTTGACTCTATAGACTTCCAGTCTCTTTATTGTTTTCTGCGCAAAATTTACCGCAAACTGTACCCAAATTAACACACAATTTTGGTTGGTTTGTGTTTCACTTCCTATATCAACCATAAGTAACACAAGAACGCAAATATTTTTCTCAGTGTAGAGTACTTTCCCCCACCTTGTGTTGTTTAAAGTGTAAAAAATGTACAACAGCTGAGCCAAGTCCGGTCAAAGGGGAAACATTTTTTTATTTAAACCTACGAGGCTTACAGACTGGTTGAAATTGATTATGGATATTTATGAGCTTCCCTCGAGTTTACAAGCTCAATTAATCGAAGCAGCCCAAAAGAGGAACGGAAAAAATTATACCAGGATACTAGTTGAATACACTTCAAATCTCCAGGCTGTTAAATCTTAATCAGTTTGACACTATGATAGATTGTCACGGCAAAATTAACAACTGATTTTGGTCCTCAAACCAGTGACCAGCCGGACAGGAACTAGAGAG